CATCACCACCCACCGCCAACTCTTGGGCTACTCTTTTACCAATGAATAGTGGGATTGACCGTCACATTATACAGCTGAAAGAGTGAGCATTTGGTGGGACGGGGATTCGAACCCGTGAACCTCAGATTGCGAGTCAAGCTCCCTAACCACCATTAAAATCATCAAATTATCATTGCAGAAATTTTGCTGCCTAAAAGTACGTTTATTTTCTACATTTGTCAAACAACGAAACTCCACCCATTAAACTTAGTACGGTTGTAGAAATTTTAGCTATTAAAAACCATCCTTAATTTCTGCCTTTGTGAAACTCCGAACTTCACTATTATTACAAGAACTATAAAACCCTTACTTGGATAGTTCAGTGATAATTGAGCACCCATCGTTAACAACATCACATTTTAGTATATAAGCTAATAAAATCATATGTAAGAACAGAAGTGACTGATTCAAGAGAATTTAAAGCAGTTTAACGTTCCAAATAATCCAAAACAATGATCTGAATAATTTTATAAAATAAAGCTACTAGAATTTTATTGAGCATAATAGAAACAGGTTTAGTAACAGTATTTATTGAATTAGTAATAATTCTAACTTTATTTGTTAGTTTGTAGTGAAGCTCAAAGCTACACATTGGGCTGTCTATGGTCTACGAACCGCGGGAATTGAAACCGTTATAAGCCTAAAGGTCATCTGGATCTAATAGGCGTTTTATGTAGCTTCGGAATTATATAAAAAAGTAAATTAAAATATGTAGAACCAATATCTATATTCCATTTTTCATGGCTTTCTATCATAATAGTATCTTTATTTAATGCACTTTTTGTAAATATTTCAATTGTATTAATTTCATTAATTATAATTTGTGCATTAAATTTTTTTCATATACATCCAAAATTACACCCGGCTTTATTTGTTGGGACAATAACAGATTGTTTTAGAATTTCATGGAGTTCATTTTTAAAAGTATGAAATGCAATAAATATATTTTATATTTAGACATATTTAACATAATTAACTGCTTTTAACACATTATTAAATATTTTTGTACAATTTAGGTCAAATATATTTTTAAAACAAAATTCAAAATATTAATTTGCTTCTCAAAACCAGAATTTAGATTTATATGGAAATGATCAAAATCCATCAATTTTAATTTATGCTTACCCCTATCTCTTGTTTATATTGTTTGATATAAGTTGAAATTTAATATAAGCGTCTAATACAGGTAGTTTTATTTAACGATTCAGCAGTTTTATTTTGAAAATCTCGATTTAATCCGTATGGGAAAAGAGTTTTAAAATAATTTTCACGTTATATCAACAAACTTTTTTCTAAAATAGTAATTTTTAACACTAGAAAAGGAATGGATGTAAAAATGGAATATTTGAATAGAATTCAGAAAACCTTCAAAACTTTCAATTTATGTAAATTAATCCTTAGATGTAAATCAATTGAAGTTTTCCTACATGTAGATATTTTAAACCACATATACTACAGGTTAATAAATAAATTACGAAATGATGTATCTTAATATAAATACTAATAATCCATTGCATCTGGAAAAAGTAGACATCTTGAATTATTTCAAGTAGTTATTTTTATAGTTAATTTCCTGTTAAGTAGCTAGCTAGGCTAAGAACCATTAGACAAATTAATCTCAGAGAAAAGAAAGAAGAGGAAAGGACGATAAATCAGCATCTTAACATCATTTTCTAAATACATAAATAAAACTAGTATAATACTATAAATTGAATCAAGAGTATATAGGCGAAAATCCAGTACTATATAATAATCATGAAAAAATATAGAAAACGAAACCAAAATATAAAAGGTGAAACTCGAAATTAAAACTATTAATCACAACAAAATTGAAAATTATAGTGTTTATCAAAACAAATAAAAGAAATCCCCATCGCGATAGTGAAACATAGACGAAACAGAAAAATTAGGAATTACATCATTTGCCAAGAAAGTGCAAAAGGTGTAATTTTTAAAGGAAAATGTTTGCAGTAATAGCTCTCAAAAACTTTGAGGGTATACAGTCTACCAGACATAATCCTAGAAACGCAGATGAACAGCAAGAAGCAACCTAACAACAGAAATACAGAAAAACAGCGACAAATAAACAAGATTATTAAAAATTGCTCATTTAAAAAGGGGTAATAGGGAGCTTTAAAAACTACAGACATAAGATAGATAGCTTAAAGTGAGAATGCAATCGCAAAAAAAAGTAAACAAACAAACTTAAGTTTGAGATATAGTGTTGACATTATTTCCTCAAACTACAAATCACCATTTTTTACTCTCCTTTTAGACATGGTATAATTCATCGTCGAGAGATACCATACAAGTTTTAGGATCCCAAAAGGTTATTTTCAAGCTATTAAAACCAGACTAGGTCCTACTACGTTTATAATCTTAGATCGATACAACCAAGCTACTAGTGTTCTTGAACCAACAATGATTGTTTCCACCTTTGCTGCAGCGAGATTTGCTCTGAAACGTCGCACCTTACTGGGATTCCTGTACGCTGAGAGAACACTCCTTTTCACGCTTTCTCTGTGTTTTTTAAACACTTTTCTGATGTGAACAACGTCGATATTAAACACTGAACTGTAGAAAAAACAAAATTTCTCTAAAGATATGCAAAGCTTGTTTACGTGTTTACCTGAAAGGTCAAGAACAGCCATAATAAGCGAACCATTATACGAGGTTTTGTTGTATGAAAATAATACAAATACAACAAAAAACAAAGATTGGATGTCATTTCTTCACTCTAGAAAAGTAGATTTGTAGCATTAGAAATCCTTTGAATCAACTTATGCATTCTCCGTTCATTATAGTTCAACCTTAACGTAATTTCGATAAAATATTCATACCTATTTATGATTAGATTTATTTTCTGTTGAGGTCAAATTTTCTTAATTGGGAAGAGAATGGTTTAATCTAAGTGTAATATTAATTGACAACCAACAGTAAATTCTTCCATACAGAAATAGTGTTTTGAGGCCGTGCTGCGCACAGTTAACTCTAGTACTCTGGCTGTAAAGAAATAAGAAAAGCACTTACTTACGTTGGACATTAAAGACCCTTAATTATGCTCAGTTGAAAGCTACAGTTTCAATACGAGTATGTTTGAATAAGCTCACAATGACGTTTGACATGAGTTATTTGCTGAATGTCAAACATGTGCCAAGTGTTACAATACTGTATGATTTTCAATAATAAAAATTATCAGGAAGTTTGATAGTTTTATCTGGTGTAATTTTAATCTAAGTATCCCATACTTTGAAAAGAAACTTTATTGATAAACTGTATATTTAATGCGAGTTTTTAACAAATTCCGATTCTACATTTAAAGAAAAAGGAAGACAAGAGATATCATATGAAAACACCAGGTGATTTTATTTTATTTTCCATGGAATATTTATGCAGAGTTTGGTTTGTACTATATTTGGTGTTTTAAAAAGAATATGTATAATAAAGATTCATAAAATTGCGTATGTACAATTAATATGACAGAGGTGTATTATGAAACCATGACATATTACCATGAGGCTCTTTATCGTTCGGGACTTTTATCACTCAAATCATATAAAGTAAAAACCATTGTAACCACATTAGAATAACAGAAGTATTATTAAATGTACCATCTTTGCTTTTACTGCAAATATAAATCATAGAATTTTGTGATGATTTGATATAGAAAGTTTCATGTATATATTAACAAATTATCGTACAATAGGTCTCTTCTTGATATGAATTTTGTTATACTAGCAGTAATTGTTTCCATTATAATATATATATGTATATATTACAGGACGAGCTAGAAATAGAAGTTTATAAAGATAGAAGGAGTTAATTAATATAAATCATCAAGTTTAGATAAAATACTCAGGAATGTTATAGAATAGTATTCAAGGCACCAGCAGAATAAATATAAGCCATTGCAGAACTTAAAAATTAGAAATATTAAAACACATATAAATGCTTAAGTAACACAATGTTCTAGAAACAAACGGACATTACATTTAGCTGGTATAGGCACAGATTTTACAGTTTCATTTGGTTGCTGAGCTGTGTACACTGGGCACGTTAATATGTTATAGCGTTATATTGATAGTCAAATAGTCTCAAAATATTTAAAATATATTTCAGATGCATATAATTTTCCAATATTTTTTACAAATATTTGATTTTATTTTTTCCCTAGATTCCTCGAGCCTTCAAAATCATTTTTCACACTTCTTTGACGATGACCAAAGTATCAATCATTAAGGAATTAATTTGAATAATACACCATCATGACCACATGGGTTGCCTTGGCATTTCTTGTGCCACTAATAGCATGGACGGAAGTCTTTAGTTCGGATATCAGCTGTCCGGTTATGTGTGACTGCTTAATTCTTACAGTGAATTGCTCATCCCGTGGGTTATTTAGTGTGCCTGCTGAAGTTCCTCTGAAGACGGAGTCTCTGCTTCTATCTGAGAACCGAATTACAGACTTCGACAACAAAATGCCATTTCTCCCTCGATTATTAGAACTGGACTTATCTATCAACCAAATTAAGCAACTGGGTAGAGTCTCCATTTTCCAAAACTTGACAGAGCTGCGATTACTTGACCTATCTAAAAATAAATTTCGAACCTTATTCAACGGAGTCTTCTGTAGTTTACACAAATTGGAAACTTTAGTCATTGCAAACGGCCACCTCAAGTTTATTGACGAACATGTATTTGATGACATGAGCATGCTTAAACACCTGAATCTGAAGGGAAATTCAATCCATTCAATGCCCATATCATGGTTTTATGATTTAACGAACTTAGAAGTCCTAGAACTTGACCACAACGAGATTTTCTATTTAAACAGTGACACATTTTCAGTAGTAAATAACCTCCTCTACCTATCTTTGTCTCATAACAGAATCAGAGGAATTAACGAAAATGCTTTTATGGGTCTTCGTAATCTAAAAACTTTGCTACTGAATCACAACCACGTCACAGAAGTTCCTTCAGCAGCTCTTCAACCTCTGAAGCAACTGAAAGTTCTTGTTCTCGACGCCAACCCCATTACTCAGCTGGGGACGAACAATTTTAATGGCTTTGCTGTTGAGGAGATTTCGCTGTCCAACACAACTACTCTTCAGATGGTAGACCGTGGAGCATTCCGGGACTTAATTAACCTGGAGAAGGTCTTTCTCCACAACAATATAAATTTACAATATGTAGATCCTCACGCTTTCATCAATGTCCCGAAACTAAAGATTCTTTTGTTGCATAAAAATAACCTCTCAGCTTTGAGTCATGAAATCGTTAACCGACGTCCAACCGTCCATCTCACCTTATACGGCAACCCTCTTCTTTGTGATTGTAACATTCGTTGGATCCGAAACACACTCGAACAAAGTGACAACTCTTCTGTAGTTTTCTTAGACTTGGACAAGTTAAGATGCTCCCAGCATCATAAACTGAATTTCTTCCCTCTCAAGTCCTTGGATCTTGCCAATATTTCTGCTCAGTGTGAACCTGTCCTAGTTGACTCTCTTAATGAAACTGTTGAAACAAAAATTGGAGAGTCGCACGAATTTGAATGTCGTGCTTTTGGGATTCCCCAGCCCAGAATTTACTGGATTTTACCATCTGGGGCCGTGCTGAATGAATCAAACAACGGCCTACAGGTCCAGGGAAAACATCCTGGTACATTAGCTTTGTACCATCTGAAGCCTAAACATTCTGGAGTTTATCAATGTGTTGCCGAAAACAAAGTTGGTTTGGCATCGAAGAACATTGCTCTTCAGGTTGAAAATGTAGACATCGGTCTATTTCCTCAGCGAGTGTCTTCCACATTCGTGACAGTTGTGTGGAATGGCACAGCGCGGAACAACTTTCCAGAGTATGATATACTTTATAGAATTGATAACCAACCAAGGGAGAAATATAAAACAGTCACAGTAAGTTATGTGTACCGTTCATATACCATCAATAACCTTGAACCAGACACCAGTTACAAGTTCTGTATTGCTGTAAAGGATGAAGAAGATGGTGACTACATCCAGCTATCTTGTACTCATGTACAGACAAGAGACCTTAGTTTCATCATGCAAGGCATCTACACTTCAAGCAATGTAGCGGTTGCAGTGGTTCTAGGAATTGTGGCTGGATTATTGCTAACCGTCTGTTTTGTTTCTGTGGTGGCCAAAAAGTACAGACAAAGGCATTACGAAACACCCGAAAAATCTCTCATTAGTCATATGGCCCACGTTCCTCCAGAGAACTTTAATAGCCCTTTGATGTCAGGAGTTGGGTCTTGTAGATAAAACAACAAGTATTTTATTGGAGGGCAGGTTGGTTTCTGTATATATTAATTTCAAAACGTAACGCATAAGGACAAGTTGGTTTTTAACGTGTTGAGGAAATATGCTACATTAATTTTCAAGTAAAGAATATATTAATTCGCGAAGTTGGATTACTTGACGTGTATAGCAAGAGGGAAAAGATAAAGCTGTACTAGATCAAATAGGTTCTTGAAAAACTCAATATTTGCCAACCAGGATACGTTTATTGCGGAAATTAAACTGTTTTCATTCTAATGTACGAATTCATGGCAGGGTTTATGAACGTACAGAAAATTTCATCTTGATAGATTGGTTTACATAAACTAGTTTGAGTTTGCAGAATCTTTTACCCTTGAAACAGAGATTATCATAAAAACGTGTACGGTGGTTAACAATGTTATATAACAGGTACTGCTTTCAAACGAAAATTATCGTTATGAAATAAACAAATATTATTGTTTATTATTTTGGTATTATTCGTCCAAATGTTCGATAATAAAATTTTATAAACCTTTTCAATTTATTGTTATAGATATGCGCATGTAATAGGAGAGGATGCTTTGCAAAAGAACCATGTTTATATCTGGAAAGGTTGAAATTAGACCAATCTAACGTTTCCAAAATTCTAACATTTCTGGTTTTTTATCTACGATAATTATTTGGAGTTTTGAATTGTAATACCGTTTTTAAAGGCCAAATTATCATGATATCTTTGTTGACATTTCTCGATTCAGAGAAAAAGGTTATGCTTTCAATTTCATAAACAATATCTTTCAATAAAAACAACTTGTAAATTCAACAAAGAAAAATATAACTGGTAAATCCTCCGACGTTTTGATACCTGGGAAACTAGCATTAATAAAATATAAGTTAGTTATTACTTATCTTCTTTAGTGAGCTCTCAAATCAATATGTTATTCTAGTTTAAAAAAGTTATGTTGGTACATTCAAGACACAACAACAAAATCCTGTAGTTTAATTCTTTGTAAATAAATTTAACAACTTGAGTAAAAATATTGTTATATGCTAAATAAACGTTTATTCCTTATTTATCCTAAAATTCATAATTACCTTTAGTGATTAAGTATGATCAATATTCAGTGGTAAGTATTGAGCATAATTATCATTATAGTTCGGTTTATTTTTATTCGAGTTTTTTTTTTCTTTAAAGAAAAATAACAATCTTCCGCTTAAATTACTCTATTTATAAAGATGACCTGTAAGTTTTGCATACTAATTTCATAAGCGACGTACGATGAACTGTTTGCAGTGACAACTTCCGTAAGAAAATTAAGGATAAAACAGAAAATAAAATTAACAAGACAGTTTATGGATACGATAATTTGAGTACAATTCTAGAAAAGTCTTTGTAATTTGTATATCACGTCTAAGACTAATTTACGTAAAATCAGTTTTTTTTAGGAAACTTCTCAATATATTTATGTCGCTTTAAATATGTAATTTTTTGGTACAATTGCAGGAAAGTGTATCATCTCTACAAACACAAAACGATTCTGATTATCGATCCAAGATTTGTGCTAATATATTTCAATATTTAATCTTACAATCACTATATCGATTTAACTTAGAAATATACACAGACCGGAAGCAGTGTATTGTTTCAGAAACAATAAAAATGCTGTTCGTATGACATATATTTATCTTGAACGCAGTAGCGTTTGATCTATATGTGGCTGTTTTGTTTCCATAAGTGCGTCTCATATCAAGTAAACTTCTTCAGTGCATACATATATATCAAAGTTTTAAATCAAAAGTAGTTTCATCAACTTGTAATTTCACATTTCACAAAAATCTTCAGTCTCACTTGAATGCTGTTCCGATATACATTATTACTAATCTCTTATAAAGGTTCCAGTTTTCTTCGTATGTATTCTATTGACGTTTTCCCAATGGTCTGTAAGGTCTCTAGCAAATACGAGCTTCTCCAGAAAATAAATGATAACGTTGCATTTAGGTTACGTTGCGAGGTAAAAGATAAAAAGTAAAATTTTTACATGTTTCTCGAACATTGCACGTTTACAGAGAGTAAAATGAAAAATAAAACGTAAACAAGTCTTAGAAATGAAGAACATTGTACGAAACTTCCAAGTAGCATTTATACTAAACAAACGGAATACCTGATGTTTTCAGGTGGAGAACTTGTTAGTCTTAAACTCCAAAAGCTGTAATATAAACTCCACGTATGATATACCAACCCGAATATCCTAAAAATAGAAGTAGGTGCTATCTCCATCGTTAAAAATACTATGTTTCTTGTTTTAAAAAATGAGAATAACCGCTGTTTTTGGTGAAATATGTAAATATATGTAAGAAGCCAATAAACTAGTGAAAACATCATTGCTTTTGTCGAAGTGTTGATCAAGATTTGTAATTATTTCATTGTTTTTGCTAGATTCTGGATCAAGATTTGTAATTATTTCATTGTTTTTGCTAGATTCTGGATCAAGATTTGTAATTATTTCATTGTTTTTGCTAGATTCTGGATCAAGATTTGTAATTATTTCATTGTTCTTGCTAGATTCTGGATCAAGATTTGTAATTATTTCATTGTTTTTGCTAGATTCTGGATCAAGATTTGTAATTATTTCATTGTTTTTGCTAGATTCTGGATCAAGATTTGTAGCAATCGACTAAAACATCACATACAATCGATTTGATTCTTAATTTTAGGAAGGAAACAGTGACTCAAATACCACATAGTTCGAAGGACATTACTTAACATTCCAGTGGATTTTATTCTTACTTCTGGAAAGGTAACGCCATCCTACATACATATCCACGTTCGGTCCTTATATAAATATATATATAACTTATTATATTTCATCAAAAATATTAAAGATTCTTTACAGTTTATATAACTTTCTACAAAATAGCTGTATATTCACTAGATTTAAGTTACAAAAGTTAAAATTATTGCAATAATTCACTACTTTTTCAATGATAATTATTTGGCAATATCGAGGCAACTTATTACATTCCTAATGTGAACAGACGTCCTGGTTTTGTTGGGACAGTCCGGTTTTTTTTTGTTAATTTGTCTCCTTGTTGTCACGAGAAAAGTTTTAAACCCACAAAATGTCCCACAGTGGCACAGCGTTATGTCTGCAGAGTTACAACGCTAGAAACCAGGATTCGATACCCGTGGTGGGCAGAGAAAGATAGCCCATTGTGTAGCTTTGTGCTTAATTACAAACAAACAAATGGAAGCTGACTTCTGAGCTATACGCTTTACGTTGGATATACAATACATGTTTTGTAAAATGGATAATTTACTATTCCTGAACTATGATGTAAACAAAGTTGAAGATAAAACACGTGCTCGTAGATTAGGAATATTTGAAAAGTTGATTCCTCTGGTATAAAGCACAGCATATTACAGACCTGTAGCTTCTGAATACCTCTGTTTAGTTAGGAAAGTAAACGCACTGGTAAGGGATTTTGTTTTTCTGTCTTCACTTCACGTTTACTTTTTTGCTCTCCAGTGGCACAACGGAATGTCTGCGGACTTACAAAGCTAGAATCCGGGTTTCGATACCCGTGGTGGCCA